TATTTTCCATTTACTTTTACTTTTAGTCATTTAGCAGACGCTTATATCCAAAGCGACTTACAAATAAGAAGTAATTAAAACTAAAAGCTAAAACTCTATAAATACTATATATATATATATATACACACACACACACACTTAAGAAAATTAAATAAATTCAATAAAAATGACAAATGCATACAACAACATTTCAAAACTAAACATTTAAATGAAAACAAAATAAATAAAGTATAATAATGATTCTAGCATAACACTAAGCCAAACACCAAGAAACAACTACATATGTGTATGTATGGCCACACACATATACACGTACATATATATAAATACATTCAATATATATAATTTCATTTCAATTTTGTATGTTGAAGTAATGAAATAACTCAAATTAAATAAAACTAAAACTTAATAAAAAAAAACCTATATAGACATAATAAAAAAACTAATAAAATGACAACATTACTACAACTGTAACTAAAACTAAAATAACCAATACAAATCAAACTACATTAGTTTATCAGTAATCCTAAAAAAATAACACTGAGCCAAACACACATGCCTAAATAACAACAACTTACTGACACATAGTAAGAAATGGTTATAAAAAACTGAAACAGAAGTGAAACAAGTAGTAGGAAAGAGAAGAAATAAAAAGCGATAACGTTACTTATCCTTTGCCGGTGTCCTGCCCGGTGGAGTTGCACGGTACAGTCGATGGTCTTTACACCTTTCGGTCTTCACGCGACCGCTTCCGCGGTAAACTACGCTTCTTTTTTATTCGTTTAACAAAACTCAAATTGAATTCAGCTGGACACACTTTCCTCTTTATCACAACAAATGGCCAAGCAAAGCGCACGAAACTGACAAGGTACGCGATACAGTACGAGACCAAATGCGATTTCAGCACGTATCCACAGTAAACAAAACAAGCGTTTCCTAGCAACGACGACTGCGCTAAACGCTGCGTCCGAAATCGCATACTTCCATAGGCGAAAAACAGCATGCGAGGCGAGTAGTATGTCCAAATTCATAAGCCTTGTCCAAATACCCACACTTGCTGTCTGTCCCATGTCTTCAAAATGCCAAAGTGCAGTGTCCTTAATGCACACTAAACCCACACTATCTCGAATACCGCTCCGAGCGCTATTCAAGGCCAAGTGTATCCCATCATGCATCATGTTCTGGAAAGAAATCGTGAGACTTTTTGCTGAGATCTCGCGAGAGGTCACGGAAACCTTTCCAGTGTAAGTTAAATATTAATATAATAAATAGATATTACATATAATTTGGTAGAAAAACAGTGTTTTTACATTTTATTGGTGCAAAGATGAGTTGTGGTGATATTTATTTTGTACAACATTTGCAACTGCTTTTTATCACTTAATTAGAAGCACCACAAATTAAAATTATGTCATGTTATAGGGACTACTGAACAGACATTTAGAAGGTGATTTTAAAATGCAAAGTAATTAAAATTGAAATTAAAATAAAGCTATGTAAACACTTGCATTTTTACAACAGTGTGTCCCATCAGGTAATGAAAAGTTCGACACACACTTGTGGTCTTCATGCTCACTTGAACACTTCGGCCAAATACAGGAAATACGTCATTTAAGTAATCAAGTGGTCAAGTGCAAAGACCGCAAGTGTGGGTATTTGGACAAGGCTATAGTATTCGAAAAACAGTAGGCGAGAAGTACCCGGATGACCTACTACTTCTGCCCGAATTCCATAGCATGCAAACAATGGACACTTTACTATTCCCAGGAGGCCACGGGAGAGGAGGCGTCATATTCGAAAATGGCGGAAGGCGGCGACGCGGCTCTTTTCAAGTTGCACTTGTTTAACATGATCTAATGCCGATTTCACACTGCACGATTTTTCACTCGCCGACAGGTTTTGTGAAATCGCCGACAAATGTCCGACATCGGAGGCAAATCGGTGCTCGTGCACGCGAGTGACAATCACGCAGTGTGAATGATCAAAGACGCGATCTGAGGGAATCGCCGATGCGCCGCCAATGCCCATGAAATATTTGGCATGCTAAATATCTGGAGCTGTCGCCGATTCACAATCACGCTGTGTGCAATGATTTCTGACTGAAAAACACATCGACGATGACCTACAGCCAATGAGAGACCAAGATACAGGGCAGAGGGAAGTTCGGGAGGAGTTATAGACCAGAATATCAGTATTTTAATAGATATATGAACAATTATATCATACAGAAACAAGCACAAACATTTGCTTGACCAGCCACAACATCAGCATAACAGTTACTGCAAAATTATTTACCTGCAACTCTCTTTGCAGAACACCCAATCCCTGTTCCCTGCATCTCCCTCCTGCATCATCTGTTTTTCTTTTTCTCCTTGTAGCTGGAAATCAGCTTACAGACCATTTGCGGGCTATATATATATATTTAAAATAATTACAGTCTTGCTTGCGAGAACTCCGGTCTGATGCACCCGCGCGGGTTCTCGCGTTATTTCCTTATCACTCCTCGCGTGTGTTTTGTTGTGAAACGTAGTTTGCGGACCAGACAGAGCTGTCGGCGATTCTTCCTATTGTGAAGTCATGCAGTGTGAAACCCCCTGTCGCCGATCCATCGTGCAATGTGAACACAGCAGCGACTGAATGCTACCCCAGATAGTCACGCAGTGTGAAAACAACGGCGATAGGACGAGTTTGAAAATCGTGCAGTGTGAACTCGGCATAAGTGAACGGCTGAATTATTGAAAGTTTACACATTGTAAATCGATGAGATGATTTCGTGAATCGGCTGTAAAAAGATGTTTAATCATTGTTATTACTGAGCGCATCAAGTTAACGAACAGATCGAGCTAGTGTCAATGCTGTTGTACATCAGCTTGTTAACTGCTTCTTTAACGGAGACGTTCGTTGTTTAGCAGTTTAATGAGATTAGAAAATTCCACTGACTTTAAAACATTTCCCCCCCTCTTTTACTAATATTTAGTTGATATTTTGTTAGCGATCAGCCTTTTCAAAATTCTGATGACTGCCCTGCTGATCCTGTGCACAATGTCAAGCACCGTGGACTTTGGGATGTCAAAGCCCAGTGACACCAGCCTGTACGATGCTGCGTGGGCCAGCCAGTAGAGAAACAACAGCACCTCAACATCTTTTCCCAGCCATGGTCAGAATCTGACTTCAAAGCAGCGATGAGGGACGTGATGGACTGTCGTGAAAGCCGGAGGTTTGGCTAGAGGTCAGATCCATCTTCGAAATACAATCGAAGAATTGGCACAGCAGCATTCAGGCGGCAGTAGGTTGTAAATGTGTGTGTATATATATATATATTGTTAGAAAACACTCTCTGTCTTGTTAAGAGAATGTTACAGATATGTCTCACCCCTCCTTTTTTTCTCCCTCTCTCTAACTCTTCTATATACAACGCATTCTCTCTGAATCCCCCCTTCTAGTTGAGATTTGCTATATTGTCCTATACGTGAGTATACTGTGTGTATGCGCATAAAGTTAGACATAGTTATATACCCAACTTTATATAAACAGCTAGGTATTAATATAGTTACATTTTGTGACTCGACAAATCAGGCAGGTGAGATTTGCTAAATAGTAGAAATCACTTTATGTGAGTTTATGTATGCAGATATTGTTGTGTGTGTGTGTGTGTGTGTGTATATATATATATATATAAATATATATATATATACACACATACATACATACATACAATACATACACATACATAAAATCACGCAGCCAAGATTTGCCATATAGTATATATTGCTTTACTTGAGTATACTAAATAGAGGTTTGTTATATTCTCTTTGGCTCTAGATTGGTGTCATTACAGCATCTACCAGCATCTTCCAGCCATCATTTGGTGTAGTCTTCAAACTGTGTTATACCCTATTGGTTCAGATACTATGCAACCAGTTGTTATCATGCTTTACGTATTCATGCATCAGAGAATGCAGCAAAAATATAGGCGCTATTGACTGAGAAATGGCTAAAATGAAATGACTGTCGTCACATTTGGTGTCAAATCTTAGTTCTGTGCATATCCGGGCAAAAAGCAATGGGTGAGTTCATTGTGTCTGTAGTTTTCGGCCATTTGACCTATGGAAAACAAAAGTATAAATAAACAGTCACTGCATGCTTTCCTCTGCTCAGAAAGAGGCCCCACATTCCTGACAAGGGTCTGGCTTTTCCAGCTAACACCTTCTTGTAGTGTTTAAACAGTCTGGAATTAGGGGAATTTCAGAGCCTGCCTTCCGAGAACTACAAATATTAAATTATGTTTGCCTAAAATAAATGTTAAAGGGATAGTTCATCCAAAAAGGAAAAAAGATCAGCCTCATGCCATTCCAAACCTACATTCTTTCTTCTGGTGAATACTGAAGAAGATATTTTGAAGAATGTGGATAACCAAACAGTTTCTGGTCCCCATTGACTTCCACAGTATTTTTTCCCTCCATACATTTAAAAAAAAAAAAAAGGTTCTGTATTGACATCGTTGGTTCCATGGAGAACCTTTAACATCCATGGAACCTTTCCATTGCACAAGCTTCTTTTATACTGGAAAAAAATTTAGATTATTAAAATGTATGGTTCTTTTAAGAACCGTTCATTAAAAGGTTCTTTGGGGAACCAAAAGGGTTTTTCTATAGCATCACTGTGAAAACTTCCCTTTTTTTAAGAGTTACTATGTAAATCATTGGGAACCAAGTGTTTGGTTACCCACATTCTTTAAAATATCTTCTTTTGTGTTCAGCAGGAGAAATTAATTCATACAGGTTTGGAACAACTTAAGGGTGACTAAGTGATGACAGGATTTTCATTTTTGGTGTGAACTATACCTTTAAATAAATCTGCATTTAAATTCAACAGAAGCATTTTAAGAAATTCAGGATGGGGCCTTGATTTCCTCTAGTCTTCAAATGATTCCATATGTACGATTCCTTAATGTGGTGTGACTGTTGCGCATGTTTCATTCAGTCTTTTTTATTTGTAGATGGGGTGAAGAAATCAACCTAAGTAAGCATCCGCAGGTATGTTCCCCCTCCGTCTGTGGCTGTGACCACCAGAGCTGTGCTCTGTAAAACAAACCCATCTGTGCTTTATTTGCTTTACACATTCACTTTCCAGTAGTTGAACGGTAGCAATTTTCTTTGTCAGCCCTATTAACCATTATGGAAATCCACAGGGGATTTTTATGTGATGCTTGTCATTCATTCCAACAGCATCAGCAATGGAAGTTAATATTAACAAATATTAACTTTCTAGTTCAAATGACAGGAGAGTTAGGATTAGGAAATTAGGAAAATCTAGAGTAAATTTGACCACAGCCACAGTGTATGATTGAATATTTGATCAATCGTTTGGTTTTTATTTCTGCAGCATTCAATCAGAGTACAGAAATTGACTATTTAATGGGAAGAGATGGTTCAATCATATAAAAATGAATGGGAGAAATCGTAACACTCAGAATGGTGTCTGTTTGTAGTGCATATGCATCTGGAATACATTTTTTGCATGATTAAAGCACATTTTATGATGCAGTTAATGTCAGATTTAATTCCTTAAAGTCTTAAAAGATTTCTGCCTTTCTCCATTCAAGTTGTTAAAATTTTTTAGATTGGCTTGTGCATAACATATGTGACAAATACCGTTATATAGTGTTTCCTTCACTTTACGATTATACTGTGAATATTACCTCGAGTTATAGTAAAATACTGTAATATTCATCTGGGGAACACATTTCCCATGCAGCACAAGTTTTCTTAAAATATGCTGTGCAACCAGACTAATAATGTGCAGCTTAATATTAAACTCATGACGCACAGGTTTTATTTTTGTAGATAGCCAAGGACTCATGTTTGAAAGTGTTTGTGAACACGTACTACATTTATTCATCTGAGCAGATCCATTTATCCAGAGAAAGTAAACGAGTGATAGGATTGAGTGGTGAATAAAACGACCAATGTTTAAGCAAACACGTAGTCCTGCCCCAGATTCACATCAATGGAATGCTGTTATGTCTGGCCCGGGCTGCTTAAACCCAAAAATGAAAGTCTACAGAACATTTGCTCATCCCACAGACCATCCAAGATGTTTATTTCTTCGGAACAGATTTGGAGAAATGTAGCATTCCATCACGTGTTCACCAACGGATCCTCTGCAGTGAATGGGTGCCGTCAGAATGAGAGTCCAAACAGCTGATAAAAACATCACAGTAATCCAATATGACTGTTTCACTGGAGAAATGGACTCGTATTTTAGCTGAAAGCAACACTTTGAAGTTTTATTACAGACTCCCAGCAGTTAGCTTCACAAGATGTTAATTGATTCCATTTGGTGCATAAATTACACACGCTTTGATATAAACAGGCAACAGACTGCAAAGATTTTAATGCTTTTATTTTCCTGTTTTACAGGGAACAGAAGTGAAAGCAATCACCTACTCAGCTATGCAAGTACATGACACAGAAAAACCAGAGATCTTTGTCATCAGCGATATTTAAAAAACAAAAATACATTAGATATAATTTAATACCTCGTGTTAATTTACATCATTTTAAAAGATTGTACCTTCTAGTTGGAATGGATATGTGAGAGGTGTCATTTCTGTAAATTATAAAATGTTTTGTGGATTGTGGATGACTGAAATAGTTTTGTGAAAAGTTTAGTTTTTTGGTCTGATTTTCATTATTAATAATGATATTAAAGGGGTCATATGATGCTGCTGAAAAGAACATTATTTTGTGTATTTGGTATAATGAAATGTGTTTATGCGGTTTAAGGTTAAAAAAACACATTATTTTCCACATACTGTACATTATTGTTTCTCCTCTATGCCCCGCCTTTCTGAAACGTGTCGATTTTTACAAAGCTCATCGGTCTGAAAAGCGAGGTGTGCTGTGATTGGTCAGCTATCCAGTGTGTTGTGATTGGCCGAATACCTCAAGCATGTGACGGAAATGTACATCCGGGCAAAAAGCAATGGGTGAGTTCATTTTGTCTGTAGTTTCCGGCCATTTGACCTACATGGAAAAGTATCAATAAACTGTCACTGCATGCTTTCCTCTGCTCAGAAAGAGGCCCCACATTCACGACAAGGGTCTGGCTTTTCCAGCTATCACCTTTTTGTAGTGTTTAAACAGTCTGGAATTAGGGGAATTTCAGAGTCTGCCTTCCAAGAACTATAAATATTAAATGATTGGCCGAATACCTCAAGCATGTGACGGAAATGTTACGCCCCTTACCATATTGTGATGCCCTGTCCGGCCGGAGCGTAACATAAAACCATGTCTGCATTTGTGATCGGAGAAATGACAAACAACAAGTGCTACTCTACACTGCCCAAAAAACTCAAGTAGATATGCAGACTGGAGATCTCCAAAATGGGGCGTGAACTCCAAAAGTGGGCAGAACCTCCAAAATGGGGCGGGGTATCCTCGGGCAAAGACTTTCACCATTGGCTCTGGCTCCAATTACTAATTGACTTGTGGGGTAGGTTTAAGTGTTAGCATTTTTTGTAGCATAGTGTAGGAAATTAACACTTTAATTGATACAACCAATAAAATATTTAGTCAGCTGTTGGGCGAATTTTGCACTGAAGTGGATTGGGGGAAACAATTGCGCATGTGTGTCATGTGCCTGTCTGTCAATGGGAGGAAGCCAC